ACTGATAATTTCAATCTAATGAAGATTTGGTGAACAAAGCCACGTTTCCTCCTGTGCGAATGGACCTGCAGCGCTGTTTACCACTGCTCCAAGACTTATTTTTAACACAGAATTGGAAAAGCACCTCTTTGGGGACGTAACCTCCCACTCTGCTGTTTGTTCACCTTCTGTTCACCGCTCAGCCTGCCCAAGTCATGTAACATTAGCAATTATGGCATGATACAGCTTCAAGTAGTTTTCATTATCAGATGCTTTTATTAAGAAGTAATTTCTGCAGTATTCTTGAACTCATTTTGTGATTTACTTACAAATAAAAGACGTAATGGGTGTGATGTCTCTTCTAGATAAGCCGTAATGTTTCTGTTTCCACAAATTTTTATACACAATCCCATTCTTTAAAGCAATTTAACTAAGTTAAGCTAACCATCTTCGCTATTAACATGGTAGGATTTGCTGTAAGTGTCTTCTAGACACACAATTCACTGTGTATGTCTCAGAGTTTCTCCAGGAAAGGTTCACAGTGTTGCATGCGCTACCTCCACATAAACACCAGAGAGCAGAATCTTTCTGCGCTACCGCCAGCGACACTCCAGGCTCCCAAAGCCATAGACCTTCCCTAGCCCATAGGGCCGCAGTACTTTCATTCGCATTTACTGAACGCGTTCAACAAATTCCAGGACGTGTGATGAAACAAAGGGCAGCCAGGTTCTGCCATGTGTTCCCTAGGGTGCCGCTACCGGAGAAGGTAGGAGCTGATTTCCAAGGTGCTGGCAGAGAGAGAGATAATTTAAAACACTGGTAAGACTGTGCTTCTCTACCCTCAGAGGTCTCTCTGAGCAGGTCTGTCCTGTGTTGGGTACTTTCATGCTGAATGTTTCAGCAGACACTCCATCTCCTTCATGGGGCTCAGAGAAAAGCTACTGAGAACAGTTTTTAGGTGAGGCTCCTTCCTTACCCCTTTGCCTTCAGCTATGTATCAATGATGAGGCACCAAACATAGCTCCACACTGACTCTTAGCATCAGCACTGGAAATATATCCCGAGTTCCAACAACTGTGGGGCTTCATTCCACTGATAGCTGTACACTTTCTGTGTGTTTGGGTGGCTGCTGCTGCTGCTGTTCATACTTCCTTGCTGAAAAAAAGAAACGCTGATCAACACAGATCCTGCCATTTATTACGTACATGTATATATATGTGCGTGCATGTATATATATACACATATAAATACGATAACAATCAACAGACTTGAGATTAGAGAATGTACTTTCACACAAGAACGTAATTCCACACAAGGGGAAGTTTCAGTCACTGCGTGGAAAGAGGCCTTTAGCGTATGCCCTTGAAAAGGCTGAACAGCAGGGTCACTTCAAAATGTTTGTAAATTAATGGCAGAGAACGAGGATTCCATTCCTTTCATTTTAAAGAAAAATATAAAAATTAAAGACTGTGGCTTCAGAAGTACTATTACTGATGACCTGAACGAATCGTTAGTCACGCGGTTGATCTCCACATCACTCATCTCCTCTACAATACGCAACCCACAGGCTAACTACACTGACTTCAAAATTAGTCTGGTTAGCAAGGCAAAGGGAGATCAAAGAGTTGGGGGCAGGGGGAGAGGCAGGGAGAGCACAAACACCAACTAGGAAGCACATCCTTTTCATAGAATCACAGACTGTTTTAGGTTGGAAGGGACCTTAAAGCCCATCTAGTTCCAACCCCCCTGCCATGGGCAGGGACACCTTCCACTAGACCAGGTTGCTCAGAGCCACATCCAGCCTGGCCTTGAAGACATCCAGGGATGGGGCATCCACAGCTTCTCTGGGCAACCTGTCCCAGTGCCTCCCCACCCTCTGCGGGAAGAATTTCTTCCTGATACCCAATCTCAATTTCCCTGCTTTCAATTTAGTATTTTTCTGTTCCTACAGAATGCGATGGCCTGGTTTGAGAATCTTTGAGTTAAATCGTCACACTTAAAGGGTGGTTTCAACTCATTAAGTATTTCTTGCCCGTATTCCCTCTAGGCATGCATGTATGGTAGATGTCAGGCAAGTACAGGTGTTTCTCTGAACTGGACCTCTGGAATATCAGAGCCTTGGGGCTCTTTCCTACCCCCATCCTGACCTTCAACATTAAGATGGGAGCAGCAACACTTATTGGTAAAGTAAAATTCATAGAATCATAGAATGGTTTGGGTTGGAAGGGACCTTAAAGCCCATCTAGTTCCAACCCCCCTGCCATGGGCAGGGACACCTTGCCCTAGACCAGGTTGCTCCAAGCCTCATCCAGCCTGGCCTTGAACACTTCCAGGGATGGGGCATCCGCAACATCTCTGGGCATTCCCATTTATGAAGTTGAATTACTCGTGATTCCTCTCGACTTTTACAAATCCATCCACATTTTGACAATATTCAGACATTTCCAGCTCTTTTTAACTTAGTGGATTTGTTTGACAGCTACAGGAGAAATGTTTTTTTTCCCCCGCCGCTCTCTCACGCCTCCGTCCCGCAACCCACACTCCTGCAGAACCCAGCCCACCGCACGAGGCCAGGCAGGCTGGAGGCCACGGCTGCAGGAAGGGCCCCCCCAGTGACCCACAGGCCGAGGGGAGCCCCTTCTTTCCTTCACCTTACCGATGGAGTACATCTCCAGCTGCTGCCGCAGGCGGATTTTCTTCATGCTGTCGTAGAAATTGGGCTCGGGCGGTGTCTCAGCAGCTGGGGGCAGCGTGAAGATGCGCATTATCCTTCTCTTATTCCTGCGTG